GTGACACCCCTCACCTTACCATGAAATAGTTTATATAGAGTGGCACCCCTCACCTTACCAACCGGTTTTGTAAATGGGAGGTATGAGAGGAAACACAGAACAATTGTTGAGATGGGGTTGACACTTCTTGCTCATGCATCCATGCCTCTAACATATTGGGATCACAGTTTTGCTAATGCTGTCTACCTCATCAACCAGGCTCTGATACCATGTTAGGATTGGTGAAGATGAACCTCCATGTTCATCTTCACCAATCCTAACATGTTATTAACGCTACTTTACAATTTTTCAAAGACGGTTGGATAACTTCTAGTTATAATTCTAACACTCCAGTTCTCATTCCTAAGATCAAGGAGGTTGACAGTATAGAACATTACACAGACTCATTGTTCTAGCTAATTTCAAACTTAATATTATCTCCAAGGTTATCGCAGATCGGCTAGCCAAGGTATTACCTCATATCATTTCAAAAGAGCAGAAGCATTTTATTAGAGGTAGAAGTATTAAGGACTGCATTAGCCTAACTTCTGAAGTGGCTAATCTGTTACATAGAAAATCACTTGGCAGGAATATCATTTTGAAAGTCGATATTGCGAAAGCTTTTGATACTTTAAGTTGGAATTTTATTCTAAAAGTTCTTAATTGTTTTCGTTTTTGTGATACCTTTTGTTTGTGGATTAAGGTCATTCTTTCTTCAGCTACTGTCTTTATTTCTCTAAATGAGCAACAACACAATTTTTTCAAGTGTCAGTGGAAAGTTAGGCAAAGGGACCCATTATCCCTTTTGCTTTTTTGTATTGTCGAAGATGTCCTCAACAGGGGTCTCTCTAATCTTGTTCTCGAAAACAAAGTGAAGCTCATGGATGCATCCATGAGCTTTAAAGTTTCTTCTCACACCTTGTATGCAGATGACATTATTATCTTCTCTCGGGGAAGTTCCTCCTCTGTTGACGCTATTGCTGAGCTACTTTGTGTTTATGTTGATTGTTCTGGTCAACTCTATAATCCCAGCAAGTCTGTTTTGTATGTCGGTTCCATGTCTAGAGAGCGACAAGCTATGCTGGCGAATAAAATTGGTTTCTCTCAGGGACAACTTCCTTTTCACTACTTGGGAGTTCCTATCTTTAAGAGCAGATCAAAAAAAAATATTTTCATCCTTTTGTTGACAAAATCAAATGTAAACTTGCTGCCTTGAAAGCTAGCTTGCTTTCTATTGCAGGCAGAGTGCAACTTGTGAAGTCGGTTATTCATAGCATGATGGTTTATTCATTGGTGGTGTATTCTTGGCCACCTAGCGTCATTCAAACGGTGGAAAGTTGGTGCAGAAATTTTATTTGGAGTGGAGACATTAACAAGCAAAAAATGGTGACGGTGGCTTGGAAACATTGTTGCAAACACATTAAAGATGGTGGGCTGGGCATTAAGTCGCTTAGAGTGCTTAATGAAGCTTGGAATCTTAAGCAGTACTTTCTAGTAAAGAGGATTGGACTTATCTTTTTAGATCCAGGGTCTTCAAGGGTGGAAGGCAAGCTAAATATCATATTTTCTCCTCAATCTAGACAAGCAATAAACATTTTCAAGAGACAATTAAGATTAATTCTCAGTGGTTAGTTGACGATGGCGAGAATATTAGCCTTTGGAGAGATAACTGGTGTGGCCTTCCGTTGACGAATATTATCCTGACTCTAGAGGATAATGCGGAGACCTTAATATCTACTTTAAAGGAGTTTATTCAAGATGGAAAAATAGTGCTCCCAGTTGAGTTTTTTTGTCACTGCCCATGGTTGATCATATTTTCGTGAATCCTCTGCAGGTTGACAAGTTAACTTGGAAAGCTTCGTATAACGATCAACTTACAATTAAGGATGCTTATAATTGGTGCAGCAAAACTGTTGTTCATAATTGGGGAAGTAAAGTTTGGCACACGACTATTCCTCCTTCAAAGTCTCTTCTGTTATGGAGGCTGATGCACGGTAAGTTGCCAACGGACAACAAGCTTCAGGCTCGCGATATGTATCTACCCTCAGTCTGTAACTGTTAGAACAGGGATAGAGTATCGGGATTTGTTATCGTCCTCATGGATTATGTAATATTACCGCCGTTCGACAGTTGATAAGTTCTTAACTTATAGTAACAAGGGAGTTTTGGTTTTTGGTTACGATAGCTTTCATAAAGTTGCGGTAAAAGTTTTGGTTTTACGATTTGAGAAAGATTGTCAAAGTTAGGGTTCGACGATCACTTTGCATGCATATGTTCGATTAAACAAAACTCATAAACTCCATTAGATGATAAACACATTCACAATATCCTCCCAATGTGATTATTTCTAACACACATTGTGGTTTTTCCTAATTTGATCCATTGTTGATTTCTCACACAATCTATCAAAATGACAACTTTTAGGTTTGACATTTTAGTGAACAAACACATTCAAAACTATCTCTAGCTCAAGAATATAGATGGATGAAAACCTAGGTAAAGAGTTGGAAAACACCTTTCAATAATAAACTAACACAAAGAGTTATCAATAAAACAAGGTTTTCACCATACATTCATCATCAAAGAGTTTACAAATGAAGATCAACCCATATACACACAAAGATTATGACCATCTACATCTAACCTTGATAAAATGAAAGACTTAGCTACTCATTTTCATGGTAGTTTGAACAAGATGAAAAGGGAGAAGATGAAAGTACATTCGCGTCGAAGAATCGAAGAAGGGTGTAATTCCACTTCTCTTGATTACACACTGAGCAAAAGCAAGAAAAACTACTGTTTTTAGGAGTTCTAGAACTAGGTTAAAATGTTACAAGATGATATTCTCAAAGATAGTAAGTTATGATCTCTATAAAGCACTAAATAAAGTACAAAAGATGTTCTGCTTTCCCCCATTCGTCAGGCGAACAGGGGCCTTCGCCAGGCGAACCAAATGAAACAAGGCACTTCAAAGTGCCTCCAGCAAGCAAACCGCCCTTCTGAGTTATCGCACCTTCGTCAGGCGAAGGAATCATTCTCCAGGCGAACCTTCGCTGGCTTCACTCGCCAGGCGAAGTTTATGTTGGTTTGCTACTGGAATATCCAAGGATCCTTCGCCAGCTCATTCGCCAGGCGAATGGTAGCGAAACTTCGCTGGAACCATTCGCCAGGCGAACTTCATGCCCTTTTGGTCTGAGAGTTTAATTTGAATTACTCGCCAGGCGAACATTCGCTGGCACTCGCTGAGCTTCGCCAGGTGAATGTTCTGATATCCAGCTTCTTCCAGCAACTATGTCTCATCTTTTCCAAGGTGCTCTAACACTCCAACTAGTGTCAATCCTGCACACTAACAACAACATTACAAGCACCATTCACTTGGACCAAAACAAAATGAAACTAAGCAAATCAATCTACTAATTTACACACTAATAGATTAAAATAAGTAAAAATACTACTAATAGAGATCAAATATATATTATAATTGGGATCTAACAGTAACCTTTGCTGGAAGCATGATGAATCTTTGTTTCATCTTTTCTTTTAGTGTTCTTATGCTAGGTCAATTTGGAGATGGTTGGGCGATAGGTTATATTGCGGTTTGGTTACTAATTTGGCGGACTGTTTGAAGATTATTTATGATAACCATTCTGACTAGAGTCATGTGGTGCATACTGCTGCTGTTTTGAAATCCATAGATAGTATTTGGAATGCTAGAAATCAAACTAGATTTCATCGCAAGCTTCTTCATAGGAATTTTGTTTGTCCTGAAGTTTTATATTTAACAACTACTTTGGGTAATATTTCTCGTTGTAGGGCTAGCTCTAACATTAGAAACTTTGTTTTATTAAAAAATTTCAAGGTTGAGCTTCATCTGCCTCGTCCTCTGGAAGTGTTTGAGGTCATGTGGTCACCCCCAGCAGGGTTGGGTGAAAGTCAATGTTGATGGGTCGTCTTCTGGCTTTCCTTTGCGGGCTGCGTGTGGCGGAACTTTCCGCGATAATGTTGAAAATCATTTAGGTAGCTTTGGTTGTTTTTTGTGGTATGTGAATGTGATTCAAGCTGAGTTTTTTAGAGCCATTTTAGCCTTGGAAGTCGCTTTAGAAAGGAATTGGCAATTCTTATGGTTGGAATCTGATTCTTCTTTGGTTGTCTCAATGTTTGCTAATTCATCTGTTGTTCCTTGATATATTAGAAGTAGATGAGATATTTGTTTGCCTAGGATAAGTCATTTTAAGTTTGTTGATTCCCACATTTTTGGAAAAGAAAATTCTTGTGCAGATAAATTAGCTAACATTGATTTTTCGATTAACTCTTTTATTTGGTGGAATGAAATTCATCCGACTATCTTAGTTGACTTTAACAAAAATAAATTAGGCTTACCTTTCTATAAAACTAGATAGGTTTGAGATCCGATTTTTGACCCCTTCATTTTTTTACCTATATTTCTATATTACATTTAAATTTTTGCCTAAATAAAAAGTAAATAAAAAATAAAACCATATCTAAATAAATAAATATAATAAAGCATCACGAAACCTAGGATGTTCCAAACTAGTTAATAGTCATTGAAAAAAGCTACTTTCTCCAATTTTTTATTTAAAGTAATAATTTATTTTTATACTAAATGAATAATAGATATACTAGCTATTGGTAATTTAATATTTGAAAACATGGGCCAAAGAAATGTAATATTTAAATTATATTTCCATTCTGATATACATTAATCAAATAATTTCTTAAGGAACCACAAAATTGAAATATAAAATTAAAGCATTTGTGTGAAAAGAAGCTGAAAAGTATCAACTAAATTTAAAATACAGAAACAATAATGGTTTGATAAAAAAATGCAGGGAAAAGAAGCAGTTTTGAAATACCTCAACTCAACAATCAATCAATCAGCATTCGAAAATCCATCCCAAACAAAATAAATCAGGAAAAGAGTATTTTCCTAAAAAAAACTAAAACTACTAAAATAAAAAATTAAAATTCAAAAGTAAGAACAGTAAATAAGATTTTTTTTTTTACAATTTATAAATAATAAGAAAACAAGGTAATACAGCACGTGAGTCAAAAACTAATAACTCGCCGTTATCCCCACTCACTGAATCAAACCCAACTCGCCCATCCAACAACGAGTCCATAAACCCAACTTGCTTCGAAACCCGACCCGCTATGACCCGACAAACCAACATAGCCCTTCTTCCCCTACCACAGCCAGAGCTCTCATGCGCCCCACTGCTGCCAGAAAATGTGCAGATCGCCGTACCTTTCCCACCTGGAAACAACCCCACACTAGCTCCACCGTAGGGACCACCGCCAGAAGTGGGACCTAAACAATGAAACCTCATCACTTCATTCCCATCCGCAACACACCGCGCATTCTCCTCATGATTATCATCTGAATCTGTGTTAACCGAACCGGACCGGGTTTTCACCGCTTCACGATACTCCTCGAACCGGGAAACCGTTCGAGAACCGTTCTGAACCTTGAAAATCATCTCAACCCGACCCGAAAACGGCTTCGGTCCCCAGCTTGTATGAAAGATTATCTCCACCACGTTGCGTGAAGGATGACCTTCTGTAAGCTCTGTGAGAGAAGATAAACGCGGGTCTGACACCGGGTGGTGGCGGTTGGTGGTGGTTGTTGTGGTTACGGTTGCGGTTGCGTTTGTGCTACGTGAACGGTTCATGGTGGATTCGAAATCGGGTTTGGTAGAAGGTGTTGGATATCTTGAACTATGATGTTTTTGAAGCGGTTTTTTGAGTTTTGGTTTTGGTTTGGGTTTGTGTTTTGTTGTTTCAACAACAACATCTTTGATGTTTTGAACACTCATTTTACAACTTGTATTATGTATTCTATTTTTTGTGTTTGGGTTGTAAACATCTTCGAAAGCTTTGGATTTGCATTGCAATGATTTGACCCAACCACCAGCCATGAGAAAAGAATAAGAACAAAGGAAAAAAAAAAACAAGAACCTGGGATTTTTAAGAACTTTTTTGGGGAGGTTGAGGATTTGTTTGTAGTGACAAATGGGGTTTGTTCAATTTCATAATGCTGCGCTGTTGTGAAAGTCGTACGACAGAGAAGAATGAATGAGAGGAGAAAGAGGAGAGAAGAAGTGGAAGCGACATGGCGCCATAATAAATGGATTTTACTACCCAATGGTTAATGAAAATACTATTATACCCTTTTGATGATTTCGGAATTACACATGTGAATGTGGTTTCTGTCTGTTCTAATATAAGCCCTCGTGAAAGAACAAAGTCCATTAATGTTGAAAACAAAAAATCTTGATCAAACCGTTGAAATTCGTTTGATTGATTTTGAATCGTTGCACAAAGGTTACAAATTCATGGGGTCATTTTCACTGTAGGGTTGGTTTTTTACCACAGACTTATACACTCATTACTTTAACAAGGTCATTAACTAGACACTACACAAGGTTATTAATTACTCTAGTGTGTTCTACAACTACACCTATACTCTATCTCTATTTGATTAAACAAACTAAATGTACATTTCTTTGCTTTTTCGTTACGAATGGAGTAAATATAATGTACTAGTAACTATTTTACCAGAAAAATAAAATCATGTACTGCCACTATTTGATGATTTCACATGATAATTAAAGAATAAAAACTAAAATAAAATATATTTTTATGTCTTAAATTAAAAGTTATTTCTATATCTGTTATAAACTATTATTCATTTTATATTATATTAACTTTTTTTTTATTTTTTTTTATTTTTAACAGAAATTATATTTTTTTTCTATTAATTTAATGATCTACACTACTAAGTAATCATTTATACATAACAGATAATTTCATAATATTATTTTAAAATTAAATTAGAGTGTAAAATTATTATTTATTGTCAATCAATAACTTTGTATATTCACTATATTATGTAATTTTTAATTTAGCAGTATGATTGACAGATTAATAAATATTTATAAAAAATATCATTTATTTAAGATGGAGAAGTAATATTCATTCTAATTTGTTAAAAAACAAATATTTATAAAACTAGAAAAATGCGACCAAATATGTAAGGACACTTTTTAAAAACTTAAAACAATAAGTTTTAATAAAATTAGCATATTCAAAATTGTAACACTTTCTTTAATGAAATTTTGATCAAACTCGGTATCTGAGGTGAAGATTAAGCGGAACTATTGAAGTCAAAGACTTTGAAAATTCAAGCCCTTCGCTTTTATGGGTGTCAGTTTTAAAAATTCAAAAATATAAATGTTGGCAGGCTATTCACTCATTCATTTGCAGTTAGAAGTGACCATATTATCTGTAATACAGTAAATAAAGACAATTTTTGTTTTTTTTTAATTTTTTTTCTTAGTACAGTGTTTTTTTTATATAAAATTCATCAGATATTAATAACTTTTTTTTATAAATAACTTCAATTTAGTGTAAAATTATAAAATGTAAATATATTTTACTCATTCTGTTTTTTTATTATTTTGAGGAGAAAATTTATTAAATTATGGGTTATTTTATATCGTGAATAAATCATTAATGTTTTATTATTATATCTATAAATATTTATTATGTTTTTAGATAGATTTTTTATTTATTAAAAAGTCGGATATGAAGATTTATTTGGATTGTAAAATTATATTAAGAGAGAACTTGACTATTTAACATAGAGTATTGATTATGGATGTAAGAATTAAAAAGATAGCGAAGACAAGAAGTCACAGGGGAGCTCTATGGATCAAGTGGTGACATTTGAATGGTGCAAAACAAGGGAGTTTTCAGTACAAGATCTTGGAGGAAGGATTAAGACAACCACAAATAAATGATATGTTAAGCAAGATGACAAAAGAGATTAGAAACATAGCTAAATAGGCGTTTGAAGAATTAAGAGGTTTTCAACTTAGAAGTAAAGATTCGCGGTGGTGGAATGAAAATGTTTAAAGTAAAATTAAAGTGAGAAACAATTGTATTAAATAATGGTCTAGAAGTAACAATGTCGAAACTTGAGAAAAGTATAAGAAAGTTAAGAAATAGACTAAGAAGGTGGTGAGTGAAATATGAACTAAAGTTTTTGATGCTTTATAACAATCTTTAGGAACTAAGGAGGGAGAAAAAAAAAAGTATACATAGGTTTGTAAAGGAAATAGAAAAAACAAAGATTTGGATCAAGTGAAATGTGTTAAAGATGGAGAAGACAAAATCTTGATTCAAGAAAAAAAATATAAAGGACGAATGTAATACATATTTCTACAACTTATTTAACGAAAGATATGATATCTTGTCGGACTATGGCATATTGTGGTTTGAAACATTTTGAGGGTCCGTAATGAGATTATGGTTTTTTGGTTTTTTAACAAACGTGAAAGATGTGGAAGAGAGAAATGTGTTTTTGGGTTGTAAATAGTTTTTGGGTATATCATAGGAGAACTCCTGCACCTTCACAAAATGTCTTCATGATCCTATCCTTTGGATTGATGAATAGGGGATTGAGAATTTTGACCTGGTTGAGAGTTTATGTTTTTTTCCATCTTCCCTTAGTGGTCTTTGATCTGACATTGATGATCCATATGGCTTGAGAGCTTGATCCTTTATTAGGGTGCAATTTTAGACGACACTTATTCTAGTGTTGGCTTATGGTGGCTTGTTTGTTTTTGTCCTTGTAGCTTTTTCTTCTTATATTTGTATTTGGTTGGTTTCTTTGTTGTACCTTTAGGTACATCTTGTGTCAACCGTCTGCTCATTTGTATTTGGTTTGGGCGTTTTACCCTATTATTAATATATATTATTTCTTCTTTCTAAAAAAAGATCAAAACTATAATTATTTTGTTCAATGTCTCTCTATACTTATTGTTCATTAGTGAAATTAAAGTTGTTCAGAAAATGAGGATGCAGAGTTCGTTGTGGTGGTTTTGAGCTTTTGATGCGACTGACCTGCAAAGTTAGCACTTCAACATTTAAGTTGAATACATGAGAAATGACATGTTTTCCTTATTTAAATATGATAAACGGTTGGCAACTTAACGCGTGGAGCAAGGTATGGATTACAGTCAATAGTCAAATTTATCTGGACGATTGGCACGACACTCGCTCGAGGGATTTCTTGCTTAGTGGGAGAAACGGTCTACTTGTTATGCGCTTAGTGCTTTGTTGTTTTTTTAATGGGCTTTTTGTCCTTTGGGCATTGTGAACGGCCCAGAACAGTTGTCCATCAACCCTTGTTTCTACTTTGTAATTCGAGGGTTTGTGACATGTACTTTTACTCGGCTACGAAATCCATGGACATGAAAGTCTTCGATCGGACGTTGTTGTTCTTGGGAATAAGTGCATTAAATGTCTTTCTCATAAGAGGTAACATTAACATGAATGACTGACATGTCTCCTTATGCTAATTAGTTATGATGTTTCTTCTTCTTTATAGTACTTGAGTGTTTTGAGTTGTTCTCAAGGAGATATCAACCATTGATAGTGTGTAGTGATTGTATGATCTTTAATGAATGAATATGGCATAAAAAGGCTTTTGAAGTGTCACTTTTTCCTTTTCTTCTGTTAACAACCGAAAAAAGAGTTCCTCCTACTTCCTTCATCATTCTCCTCTGTGAGCGTTCTTGTTCCAATGTTTGGTCAAGTTATATGACCTTGTTCGTTGGTGAAGGGCATCAATGTTTGATTTCTCCACCTTGTGTAAGACAAAGTTTAGCGTTTTCTCTTTGCTTATGCTCCTTTTTTCTAGAGTTTTTAGAATAGTGAGTGTTTGATCTCTTATATTTTTTTCTAGGAAATTGTTGTTGTTGTTGTTGTTTTCTATGGGTGACAATGTTTGAGCTTTCTTACTTACCACATTGTACCTTCATTTGTTTTTCTTTCATAACACGGTTTAAATATGGAGATTATGTCAACCTCGAGCAAGAAGACCGATACAGATATTTCAGGCGATTGGGTGAATCTAGACATATTGAGGTTTGTTTATACTTTTGTTCATGAGGATGTTTTTTTGCCAAACTTCGATTGACCGGGGGGGAGGGAGGATCCTTCAATTGACTGGAGAGTATTTCCACCAGATGGAGATAAGAGGGTTTGTAGCCAATATAATGGGTGTGTCATACTTTTTCATGAATTCATATTATCCCTCATAGGTTGTCACCTTCCTTTCAATGAATTTGAAGTCACCGTATTGAACCATTTGTTGATTTACCCTTCATAGTTACATCCAATAAGTTAGGCATTTGTTAAAGTCTTCCATCCTTGGTGTGAGTACGAAGGGGTAATCTGAATGTGCCATTTTTATTCATCTCTTTAAAACTAAAATATAGCCCAAACTATGTGAACAATTCCAATTTGTTTTCCTTGGGACAAAACATCAGATACTTCAAGACCGATTCTGATAGTATAAATAATTTCAAGGATGACTTCTATATAGTTACTCCTTTTAATGAATAAGCAAATAAAAATATCTGAAACTTAAAACTTAGTCCTCCATCCGTGTACACAAATTTATTCCGTAAGTTCAAGAGCTATGGTAATTTCATAACGGGGGCAGGATTATATGTTTGCAAGGAAGAAGGCTTGTCTCAAGAAGATTTATATTTGAAGAACCAATCGGTGTACTTCTGTAAGTAGGGGGCTACGTTGGTGGTGTAGTCTCACCATACACAACAACAAGAAAATGAATGAAAAGGTGCATTCAGACCCGCTAGTTGATGGATGCCAAATAAGAGAAAGGAATGAAGAAAATAGTCAATGAGTGACACAATAGCTTTCTTTTCCCTATTTTATTTTCTTGAATCTTCTCTAGTGTCTCATTTGTTGATTTTGTAGATGCGATGAAGAGCGAAGATGCAATGCGAAAGATAAAGAACGAGATTCAAGCTACTTCTCTTTTGGCTAAAATTTTGAGTACCCGTCTGCTGGGGGATCTTCTACCTTGGGCGCACCCGCTGGTACC